TTAAAGAACTTCAAACTAATGTTCACGTTTGTCTGAGTTTCGCATACTTGGAAAATTCACGCAGATTTTTTTATAGGGAAGAGATTTCATGAACCAGAGTAAATAGAAAGCTAAAACTTCACAGATGTTCTATTTTCTGTGTGAGCCAAAGATTTCAAATTCAGCTTTAACGCACGCCTGTGTCGTGTGCACGGGTACATTAAATTTTAGATCTACTAATCGTTAATTAGGAAATTAAAGTTGGTTAGAAAGTTCTGACTTTCGGGAATACTTGTTTTGTATACATAGATATGTGGGCGCAAAATGAGTTTTGGCCTAGGCCTTTATCGCACGCCCGGACATGAAGAAGGCAGATGTAACGAAATGTGTTTTCTTCAACCAGTTAAGCTAGGGAGCTGAAACCTTACGAGGAAAGTTCAGCTTCCCAGCTTGATTGGTTGGTGAAATCGGCCTTCATTACATGTATTGTTATAACAGAGTAACTTATGGATTTCAAGCACAAAAACGTTTGGTATCTGTGGTGCATCTCGGGAAAGGAACATAGCCAAAAATTATGGTAAAAGGTTTCAACTTTTCAGTTTATTTGACTGCAAAATTACAAAACTTTGCAATTTCAAATTTCATGCGTTCCAACGCCTGTGCGACTGAGGCGATTGTAGGCAAGTTTATATGTTTTAGAACAGAAAGATGGCGGAGGATCTTACAAAACTTCAAATTTTTTAGTTTGTTTGGTCCCAGAGTTAAAGCCAGGTTAATGAAGCACCAGGCTTGGCGATGTAGTCCTGCGCTTTTGCAAGTTTCCATTTCGTGGAAAGGTCACTTGTACCGCCAGGATGTGACTGGGTTTTGCAGTTTGGAAATTTGATTCGCCTATACGCAAGGTCCGTACCTAGGCAGAAGCTTACCTTAAGCTTGATGGCCTAGATATTAGTAGCAAAAACCATCAGAAAAATATTGTTCCCTATATCTGGTTACCGAGTTAATTGGGTGTCTAACAGTTTCCCAAGCTAGACTTTTACTTGCGCACACGCGAGACCTACGCGCGCTTTGAAGCTGAAATGGAAATATTTAGGTTGCACACGAGCGCAGAATATTCTCGCGAAATTTGAGATTCCTAACTTGACTAGTTGCGAAATCGCTTTTTGTTGTAAATGTCTTTGACATGTCCAAACAGTTGTGCGCCAAAGCTCATTTTGCGCCTACATTTCCGCGTATTGAAAAACAAGTGTTCTCCTAGTCAGAGCGCTTTAATTAATTTGATTCCTAAGTTGCCGACTTGCCAGTAGTGTTTCGATCTCAGCTTTGAAATATTAGTACGTGAGACACAGAACTGCGTGTTAGCTAAATTTGAAATTTTAAGCCCACTAAAGGACACAGGAAATCCCTGCAAAATTTCAGCTTCCTACTTCGTCTGGTTCCCGAAATATTTTTCAGCTAAAAATTTACACGTTTTCTTTTCCGTGTCTACGCGTGAAGCCCAAGAGCACGTGACTTCTATTAAATTCAACTCGCGAAATTATAAATTTTGAAGTGTGACAAACCTGAAATCATTTGCCTTTTTCTTTGCCTTCTAGTCTGTGACTTCAAGTCCAGACTGGTGCTAGTTTTATAACGCGTAAAGAAACAACGAAGTTATTCACTCGAGGGTTTAATTTGCCGCAATGCGCAAGTTAGATGATGTAGAATCAATCCCCAGTACCTTTGTGTCTTGGCCTGCCATTCTAGTTCCAAGTAGCTTTTTATAGTTTGCAAAGGGACGTTAAAAACTCGGAATATGTTAAGAGATAAGGACCTGTCACTTCACTACCAGTTACGGAGTGAATGATAATCCTCCAGGATGGAGTATTTTATGAATCTGAATTTTTATGCTTTTTGTGCTGCAACAGTTGCACAAAATGCATATTATCGACTCTGTGTGTGTATGTATGTCTGTGTATGTGTATGTGTGTGTGTATGTGCGTCTGTCTAGGTATTTCAACTCGGCACCCAAGCAAGCTCCGGTGCCAAAATTTTGCTGATGGGTTCCCCGCCAAGTGCCACCCCAGGATCGCGGTAACAAACTTTACTCAAATCCGAGCTCCGCGTACGAGGGGCTGAAAGTTTTGGCGGGAAAATCGCTAACTCGGGAACTAGAAAAGCTAGAAAGCTGAAATTTTGACGTTATGTCCCCGTCTACATAGAGCTCAAAGATTTCAAATTCAGCCCCCAGGTTTGCTTGGTTGCCGCGTATGGCCCCTTGATGATTCCTGGCACGAAAACCGCTAACTCGGGAACCGTGAAAGCTGGGGAACTGAAATTTTCATAGAATTTTCCCGATACAAGAACAACTTGTAATTATGAAATTCAGCCCCTCAGTATGAGTAGTAATCCGGCAGGAAAATGGCCAACTCATGAAACAGGAAAGCTGAGAGACTGAAATTTTCAAGGAATGCTCCCAATACAAGTTCAAATTATAATTATCAAATTCAGCCCCTCAGTGTGAGTGGTAATCACTATGGCACCGTGGAAGTTTTAGGCGCAGAAATGGCTAACTTGGGAACCAGGAAACCCGGCAGGTTGAAATTTCCAGAGAATGTTCCCAACACAATTGCAACTTATAATTATCAAATTCAGCCCTTTAGTTGAATGGTAATCACTTCGGCCCCGTGAAAGTTTTTGACGGGAAAATGGCTAACTCAGTAACCAGGAAAGTTGTGAGGCTGAAATTTTCAAGGAATGTTCTCAGCAGATGTACAACAAAAATTTATCAGATTCACTCTGCAGGCATGCTTGGCTCTTATTTACGACCCCATAAAATTTTTTGGCGAAAAAAAAAACTCGGGGAATAGGGAAGCTGGGGGCCTGAAATTTTACGAGTATTTTTTCAACCTACCGTAAAAGCTAAAGATATCAAATTCAACTCACAGATACGTGTGGTTTTCATGTACGGACCGATGAAATTTTTTAGCAGGGAAATTGCTAACTCAAGAACCAGATAAGTTGTTGAAATTTTAACGGAATGTTCCCTGTCAAAGCATCGCGTAGACAATTAACTTCCCAAGCTTCGAGGATCAGTATTTTACAATTCCTAGCTACCAGGTTTCCGAGCGATCTCATTACAGCGCGAAATACTGCAAGAACTCATGATCAAAAGGACCCACCCACTGCGCGTCGTTAATGATTTTACATACGATACAAAGGTCATAAAGAAATAGCATGTAACTACAGTGATCTCTATGAGTCCATCGCAATATTTAGCTTTGTGCATTTTTGCATAAATGATTTCTGCATAAGAGCGACGTGACCATATTTGGGTGTGCATCTGCTCTGGATTTCCTTGTCGGTAATTCAACTGCGAAACAAGAAGAGTTAGGAAGCATGAATACTGGAAATAATTTTGAGCCATCTACAGAACCACACACCTAAACAACTTTCAGCTCTCTTTCTTTCGGCTTCGCTGCTTGTTTACGATAGTTTAACGCAAGAAAAGAGAAATACACTCGAAGACTCGGAGTTTAATTCGTTAATAACACACGATGAATTGCTCAAAACTAGAATTCAAGTTTGCCAACGACGACGAACATACCGGTTTGATTTGAATTGTTTTTTGTAATATCGAAAAAAGTAAGCAATCAAACAGAATTTTCAAGTTCTCACTTAGCTTACCAGCAGATACAAAATAAACAACTGTCTGAAACTAGCTTCCTGACCTCGCCACTTGATAACCTACGACCCAATTTTCAGTCAGACTCTGATGTCGCAGTTTCAGAAAGCGGCAAGGGATAAGCCTAAATTTTAGTACTTTACATGCGTCGGATACTTACTATAATAAACTACAAGTGCCACATAGCGAGTGGCACAGTCTCCTACTGTGCGTCAAAAAAAGCGTACTGCAAAACGTTAGTCTGCGACAACATGCTGATCTATTCACTTTTATCAATATTTAGTTGTTCTGGCAATCTGATTTCTGACTGGTTCAGAAACATCGAATTACTTGAAGTTCACGTAGTAAAAGATAGCGACACCATTTTTACATGAATTTGGTTCGGAATGATGAGTTTCAGGAAATAATAACAAATACTAATATTGTTGGTATTTTTTGTCACCTGTAAGGCATAAATAAAACCAGTACCCAAAAATGAACAATTTAGGAGCAGCGAATGACAGTGGATTTATGAACGCGTGCATAGGAGACGCATCAAATAAAGATCGAGTACAGGAAGTTAGTTCTTTTATATGCAGGTTATTGCACCGAACAAGAACAGCTTAACAGATCAAGGATCGAAGCGACCACATTTGGATTTAAGCCAAACATCTAGAAGTCAATTCTCGCAAAATCAGTCATCGTTAATTTCTGTCGAGGGAACTGTAATTCTAGCGAATCGCTTTGAAGTTTTTCTTTTTTCTCAGGCATTCTTCATAAAAAGGATCCAGTGACTTTGGTATCGCGCAGTACTTCTTCATGCAATAATATTACACCGACTAGTGGGCCGATTTTCCTAAATAAAATATGAAGAGCTTTTTGATTCATTGCCATCAACACACCAGCACAACGAAAATTCTAGCCTTATTTTTTGATGTTTTTTGATAAAATTTTTTTTAATGAAAGATACTATATATTTAGACAGCAGTGTCAGTTCTCAAAGAAAATCAGACGGAAATATTTCGAAATGCAGGAATCCAACCGGGAAAACAATTTTTTCAGGACGTTACGAATTTGTAAGTAATATATTTCAGCCATTAAATGCCCAAGTGTGGACGGGTGGTATCACAGTCAGTTAGTAAGTAGTATAATTTCACCACTAGGCGAATGCCTCTTTTTCAAAACGAAGTGCGGTGACGAAATTGTCCTCTTGCGTTTGCTTTCATACTGAAATTTGCAAAACATTTTTTTTCTGAGACTTTAAAAATAAACTTTGCAAGTGGAAGCTTGCGACAAGAAATTAATTATATCATTTTCGAATGAATAAGTAATTTTTTTTAGCCGAAATAAAAGCCGACACGGCGTCCAGAAACGGTATATGCGCAACCAGAAGCACGGAACACGCCAGTCGATCATTACAGAGTTCACTGTTGTGAAGCGCAAGTCAAATAATTTTCAAAAACTTTCCGATGATGCAAATCAAATTTCACCTCCTTCTTCCACCTCAAAGCACGTAAAATGTGATGATTGCATCCTGGACTGCTGCTGCCCGTCTATCAAATCAGAGCCTGAACCGCGCAGCGGACATGCAATGGAAATCACTGAATCAGCTGGAAAATCCGACAGTGACCGCGACCAAGCACTCGCCGAGGATATCGAAATGCACGACTTGCAACAGTCCTTTACACAGACGCTCGGGAAAAGACTTAAGAACATTTATTTGGACGATGATGATGAGGAACCACTCGCGAAACGACAAAAACAAGTAATAACTGTTACCTACCCCTTATTTTAGAAACTACCAACAGACATTAAAATAATGACAGAGTTGGAGTTAATTAACTGTGAATGACATGTTCAACGGAACCGAGTAACTTTTCGTTTAGAAGACGCAGAATCACACAAACTGAATAGAAACTGCAATTATCTAGCTTATGGCGCTAATTTCAGTCGTACAGAACGCACTAGGCAGGAAGAGCGAAAAAGTGTTAAGCGCCCTAAAAATAAATGTGAATAGCTGCGACCGTTATCCGTTTTTATGCGTTTTTTGCAGTAATGCAATGCAAAAAACGCATATTGACGAGAGGTTGTCTGTGT